AAAGTCCTTGTCAGTCAGTTAGTCAGCTACAACGTAGGACCAGGCACATATATGCACCTAAGTAAAACCCATTGATACCAATATTTCTTTTTGTTCAAAAAAAAATCAAATATTCTTAATAAAAGTACATTGAATTTATATTGTAAATCAATTAATTAGTGTAAAAATTATCAGTACTAATGAAGTAAACTATTTAAGTGAAATAATCCATTTAAGTAGTAACTTTCAAAAGTACATCAATATTATATATATCAATGGAGTAACAATTCGGTGCGTAATTTGTTTATCTTGTAAATAAGAACTATTCTTGAAGAGTATTAATTTTAGGTAAAAAGATATATTAATGATAAGTAAAGGTTGTAAGTATAAAATAAATTACTTTAAATGATTAGTTTATATTTATGTATGATATAACAGAATTATGTATTGTTTTCATCATAATCTATTCTAACAACGATGAGAGATATTCACTAAATTATCAATTAAGTTATCTGATTGTACACTTAATATAGATTTTTTTCTGAAGGAACAGCTGAATTCACGCACTCACATGGGTATGGCGAAACCGAGTAATGTATTTGTTATATACTAGTGAAGATTAAATTACGAGTAACTTCCGAAAACTATTAATGGGCTAATATTATATATATATCTTGATACTGTATAACTGTTTAGTAATTAGATTATGTATATCTATATTCCTCTTATTATAAGCTTTATTTTAACCTATAGATCATTATTATACGATATACTGTACTTAAGTTATGTTCAGTGAATTGATTACTGTCTTCCATGTTCACAGCCATATTTTGGCTTGATCTTGTACAAATGTTATTTCCTATTTTATGGTGTGATGTGCTCTGTTTGGTTGGTATATAAACCAAGTATGTTTGAAACAAATGATTCGTATAATGAGAAGCTGTTATCAGTCTTCTAGAATCAACTGAACAAAGAATCATTAAAGACACTAGGTTACTCTATTCATACCGATTGAACGTTATTGATTTAGCACACTTCTAAGATTGAATAAATAATATTTGTTTAAATTAAATCATAAATAAATAGGAAATAAGGACTCGAACCTGAGATATGACAGTTGAAATTTAATCTAATACAAGATGATAAGACAAAAATGAACTATTCAAAATATCAATAAATGATGATGTACATATTATGAGATTATTGACTGTATCTGAACGTATACCTTAAAATGAACTAGTATTGTTGATTAAAACTAATTCCTCTATTGTATTTATCTCATTGGCTATTTATTCTTTTTTATTATAATGATAGAAATGCAATCCTTCAATATAGCTGATAATAAACATCCAATTCATGATGCTGTATATGATTCATCATCAAATTTTTTACTACATTGTATGACAATTGATGAATGTTTAGATATAGGAAAACCTAATACAATATCATCATCTTTTATACTTGAAGAAGATAATGGAATGCTTACAAGAACAACATCAATTAGTGAAATGATGGAAAATGGTAAGTTATATCAATTAAATTAAGGTTAATCATTGAGATGTAATTCAAACAAGAACATCAAAGATAGTCTTATAGCACGAATCAAATAATAATAATAATATTATAATGATGAACAGAAAACCAGGACAACTGCTTTCATCACATTGACGGTTTCAAATCCATTATTTTTATTAAAATAATGAACCAATATAAGTTAGAAAGTTATTGGGAACTACAAAACATTAGCATCGTTTTGTCTTAGTACGGGACTCATCAAACGTGTGTATCCATGACCCCATCATAGGCAGTCGATTCGAAGACTCTCGGTCTCGCTCGTGATTTCTCAACTGTCTAGAACACAGTAGAGATTCAAGAGTGCACACATTCAATAAGTGTGTGTGATATTGCATGACCATATTCCATTGTCTTTGGTGAGTTCGCTACACGACTGATGCGACTAAACTGCATTGGTTGCAACTTCTAACCAGAACTAGTCACTAGTGATCACATAACAACCGTCAGTATGGGGTTTTGAAGAATGTTGATTTCTATTGGGATCACGAAGTTAGTCAAGTTAGACGATACCGTGAATTGACTGCAAGTAGACGACTTATATACCAACGGACTCCAACTTAGTGGTATAAAGATGTGATGTCATGTCACACAGAGTCTCCAACCATTTGTTACGATAGTCACGTGGACCCCGACCAAGTGGTCTGCATCTACCAACATGGCTAAGACTAGAAGTTAGTGACTTCAAGCACCGATGATAGAGATAGATATCTCAAAGATGATGATATACTGCCCAGATATATAGTATATCATTATCCTAATTATCACCATATTATATTAATAATTTAAAAAGTTCGGATCAGTGCCAGGAATCGAGCATTGAGTTTAATTCCAAAATACTAACCTATTAGCACTCATTTTTTGATACATTTCAACTTTAAATCGTAGAATACATCCATGTATTGATAATCAGATGGCTTATAGTCACCTAAAAGGTACTTTTAGGTTGTTAGATGTTATGCCATCAAATCGGTCATAATTATACAAATATTTATATTCACTATCTGCTACGTATCAAATAATCATCATGCAAAATGTTTACATTCTTCATTATTATAATTTTCTAAATCTTAAACTTAATGTTATTTCATAACCTTACATTATGTAATATCATTAGTGTGTGGAGATTATGTTTAGTTACACATCTTTATTTATTATCTTGTTAACCTAAGTCTTTACACAATTATGTTGAAGAATAAATCTGCCCCCAAATGCCCTGGTACGACCAAGAATGAAAACAGTTAACTCTCCCTCTACAAATGCTCTCACATGGTCACGTGCATACAACCACCGCCTTCTCGCGGCATTACTGTTGTTTACGAAATTGAGAGGACGATAAGCTAATGTCCGATGCTTTAACTAGGTCGGTGGACACGGATGGTCCACCTAGGTGAGTTGGAAAAATCTCATTCCAAAACAACGGTGCACATGGGCTGGCTCCAGGTTCTTAAAGAAATAAATGGCGTATGAACCAATTATTGGTCACTGGCTACCATGGGACTGCATCTACTAACGTTGCTCCACTACCTTGTGGATCAGACCTTTAAGTTGAAGACCCCGGTCGTGGCTTTTTAAGAAAACCACGTGTTTTGATCTAGGCACCCGGGTAGTATCACAGTTCGCACACAAATCAAGTGACTTGTGTGGCGCATATGTTGTCGGTGCACCTTTGTATCAATATTTATATATTTATGATCATGATGGTGATAGATATAAATCTTAAATCTGATTAACTGAAAAATATTTTTCATATTTGATCTAATAAATCAAAAGAAGATAATGATGTTGATAATTAAAGTTTGTTTTAAAACTGTTTTTTCTCTTTCATATCCATAGATACTACTGCCGCTACTACTACAACAAATTCTACTTATGAATGTATTCGATTAAAGAAACGTAAAACATTGAATATTCCTAATTGTGAATTCATTCCAAAACAAATAAATCGGTATAAATTTCATAAACATAGGAAATATGTAAATCAACCATTCAAATTGACAACCAAAACAACAACAACAACACAACAGAATACATTAAAACGTCCAGATCCATTTGCATAGTTTCATTCCACTACTTTTTCCATTTTTTTTTTCTTTCTTTTAAAAGAGGAATTAATTTATTACACAAATGTGTATAAATTTTCTTAAATAATATTTCTATCTGAGAGATTTTCTTTGCAAAAAAAAAGGAGGGGGAAATGACAATACTACAGTTATTTTATATGTACACATTAAATATAAAGATACAATTCTTGTCATCAACACAATACTGTTTGTTACTTTTCCATATATAGATATACACACTTAAACAAAAAAAAATTAGTGAGACTATAATTCTATGGATGACCTTTGAACAATACTGAAATGACCTTATGAATGAACATCTACTTATTCCTGTTAAATGAGGTATATAAATCAATGCGAGGAATTAGGAGCTTCAGTTGATGGTTAGGATTAGGAATTGAATTTAGGGTTTTCATTACGAACTGATATCCATAATTCTAAAACGCTATTTAAACAAATGGATAAATGATAAGTAAAGATGGATAGTGGCTAGCAGTGGAATCCAGGACGTGTGTTTCATTCTATTTGGGACTCGTCAGCTGGATGTACCTACATCCCGGAGTTGATGTTCACCCTGGGACTCGAATCCAGTATCGTTAATTTTCGTGCCAAAATCTAAGATTTATTATCTTAAATCTGATCAGTTCGTTCATAAATTATGGTCTATCAATCCTAAAGGTAATTTGCATATAGACGAGACAGGTTGAACTCTATAATTTCAAGTAATTCAAGCTTTAATTTTTATCATTATTGACGAAATTTGGATTATTTAACACCGAAAAGTTCAACCTGTCTTGTCTATATTCAAATTTTCAGAGGTTTATTATCAGGGGTTTTGTGGAGATTTTTAGAAACTCCAATAGTTGAAATCATGAGCCAATTGAAGCTAAGCCACCGTGGAAAACCTGGGAGCACTGGATGGCCATTTCGTTCCAGTATGGGACTCCTCAGCAGTGCGCATCCACGATCCCGCCCCCTGCGGGAGAGAGAACAAACCAGCTTTCAGCTGAAAAAATTAGGAAAAGACGATGGGAATGGATAGGAAATACATTATAGAAATCACTAAACTGTATCACGAGGGAAGCACTATCTTGGAATCCTGGAGGGAATTGGAAAGGAGGAAGCACAAAGAACATATTACGTCGGAAAATAGAAGCAGATATGAAAAGGATGAATAACAACTAGAAAAAGCTGGAAAGGATTGCCAAGAACAGGGTTGGATGAAGAGTGCTGGTGGATTGCCTATACTCCTCCACGAGGAGTAACAGGCGTAAGTAAGTATATAAATAAAAGATTTCGACCAATTTCAAAGACGTAAAACAATCGTATTCATACATACATAAATACTTCATTGATAATAAATTAAACATCTACTTCATTACTTACTTGAGAAAACCAACTAATTATAGAATAATAAACAGACACTTCATAAACACAATTTGGATCCAAATAGAAATCAATAAATGAAGGAGATTCTTTTAAATAATTTGAAAAGGATATCGATGATATTGGAAGTTGAAAAGATATCTCTGTTTTGTCATTTCTATAAAGAAAGAAAAAATATAATTAAAATTGATAATTTGAAAAGTAACTATTATATCCCGATGAGAATAATGAATGGTGGTAATTGTTGGGATCTATTTTTGGACTAATACTATATTCTTATTGTATAATTGTTAAGTAACTAAACTATTCATATTCGTGTTCCTCTTATTATAAGCTTTATTTTGACCCATAGATGATTATTATACGATTCACCATTCCTAAGTTATGTGCAGTCTATGATTCATATCGAGGAGACTGAAATTGGTGTTCCGGTTTCTAACAGGTAGGGCTAGATAGGAAGAAGAACCAATAAGGAATCTAGATTGCCCGTACCGGTTTTATGCGTCTTTGATCCGGTAGATAAGTTTCTGTTTCTCTAATTGGCAGTATCATTACGTTATATACATTAATATGGCACAAAGTCACAAGTTATAACAGTAAAAATCGCTGTAAAAGTATGTCGAACAACTCCAGTATATATATGCATATGTAATTCAGAAGATTGATAAGCAAAAGGTAGTACTACTAGAGTAGAGAATGGTTACTTTATCCTTGCACAAGTCCGTTAAAAATCAAAACCCAATTGTTGAGCTAGTTAGTCCTATTCAGACTACAGATATCTTATCTTAATAAATGCAAAGAATATTTCCATATTTGATTTATGTAATTCTTAAAATAAGTATGTGACTAATCTAATTCTAATATGATATTATAAAGTATAATACACTGACTACCGTAAGTTAACCAATCAGAATGGAAATGACACCTCATATATTTCGCGCGAAATTTAAAGTGCAATGATAGATAATGTATATGTTATTATTGACAAAGTGAAAATTGTCATTATTTGATTCTTAAAATGTTTGAAGTTATAAAACATATTCGCTCTTAAGGTGGATTGTGCGTACAAGTATTTGATGTGATTCAGTACATAGTTTAATGAAGCTAGATAATTGTCTTCAATACTAACTTAGTAGTTACTAGCTTAAGAAAGATCGGCTTCTGACCAACAGATCTCATTACGTTCCTATTCAATATATATATACATATTTCTTCAGAAAACCCTTCAAGGTAACCCGTTTTAATCAACATATTATGAATAAACTCTAGTTTATTGTTTATGATGTCATCCTAGTTCTATTTGAAAGGCGCTTAACCAGATTTTGCTTATAACAAATAAATCCAAATCTAAAAACAAATGTTCATATTACCATGTGGTTGAACTTTTTTTAATATTCCCTTTATCACCAGACTCATCTGCTCTTTTGTTTAAGAAATCATAAAGGAAATATAATTTGTTCTCAAGCTCTTCCTAACAAGTAAATTTAATTGTCAAATGTATACTGATAAATTATTCCAAGAATTCTTATTCATCAATATTCTAAACGACGATAATGAAATTTGTGTTATTTTTGCTTGTACCTTCGAGTTCCGGAGTGAACATCAACTCTAGGATGCAGGTACATCTATCTGACGAGTTCTAAACAGGACAAAACGCGCGTCCTGGATTCCACTGCTGGCCACTATCCATCCTTGCTTATAAAGCTTGTGACTTTATCGAAGCGATTCGCACAGGATGCACGCAGGTCAATAAAAGACTGGTCAATTGCAGTCCTAAACATCAATGGGAGGATACAAGCAAAAACAACACCAAGTGAATTTAAACTTCAACCCATTGCACAAGCAGGTGGCTATCACGACTCAGTAGCTAAGTGGATAACTCGATGGTGTTTGGATTGAACGGTACTGTGTTCGACTCCCGGAATGAACGCCAACCCTGAGATGAAGGTACATTCAGCTGACGATTTTTAAATAGAACAAAACGCGCGTCATTAATTCCAGTGCTAGCCAGTATCCATATTTGTTTAATAAGATCATTGTTTTCATAAATGAGACAGAACTGTGTCTTTTATCATATTTTAGTTAATATTACAATTTGGTCTAAACAATTTCTACTAAATAGTTCATCTTCCTGTTAAAACAATCAGTATAAATCATTAACAATCAATTCATTATTGAGTAGTATAGATAATGTGTATATCAAGTTTTTTCTGTTTAGTGCTGATCAAATTCTATCAGTCCAGTTGCAATGTGACCATGTCTCTGACTATGAAACTGGGTGACATGAGATTAAATTCACCAGGAAGTAGCAATTCGGTCAAGATGACAAAGGTAACTTCACCAAGAAGTTCCAAATATCACGAACTGGATTTTATGTCGACTATCTTTAACCACTACCTTACAGCATAAATCACTCGACCATTTTGGATAGATTGACAAGTTCTTAGCAGTCAGATAAAAGATAATATCTTATTCTTTCTGTAATGCATTGAGATATAAAGTATTAAAGATAAAATTTCACTTTTTTTATCAATTAAAGGTGTTTAGTGAAACTTATTCTGATCATATTGATTGTGATGATCACTATTGTGATAAAACCATCGATGTACTTTTCGACACCAAACTATATTCAGATTCCTTGAATTTAAGATACAGCTTAACTCTGTTGATTAAGAGTTGTGTTTATTTATTTATTTGAACATATAAATATTGATACAAATGTGCACCGAATACATATCCACCACACAATTCACATGATTTGTGTGTGGGCTGTGATACTGCCCGAGTGCCCAGACCGAAGCAGAGATTTGAAGTGACAGCGTCCATCATTAATGAACATACAAAAGAAATATGACAACCTTGTATTAGCTCTCTAATTGAACATTACTGATAGAGTTAGAGCCTATGATGAATTGTTATTAGATATGTTAACCAAAAACGATGTTCGCCAGAACTGTCCAGTTGTTGCATTTTGTGGACATTTTGTTACATGTAACAATCTCATTGTTTAACTTTCCAAATGTTGATCTCCTATCTACTTGGTAGCTTACAATACACAGATAATTTAAGATCGCAATACAAACTGCTATTTTAAATTCGACAAGTTTATCAATACAGTTTACCTTTACTGTACAATCATCATCCATTTTCATGTGAATCGAAATTAAAATGAATACTCATAGTATTGGATTAAAATAATTGATCGACTTTTACCAGACGTTTCTGCTAATGAAGTTGTTCAGAAGAAGAATCATAAAAACTCTAGGACTAAATCATCTAACTCAAAGAATAAATTCTCATTAAAATCATCTATCTATGCTATAAAAAAATCTTCTCCGCTGATAACTTCTTTCATATAGAAGAAACAATGAATATAAAATAATGAAAATAGAATTGTTAAAGTTATTCGTTTTGTTTTTGTTGATGAGATCCAGAATACTCCTCAAAAAAAACCAAGAAAAGCTCTGAAAACATTAAGAAGCGTCTCATCCAATCAGCGTTGGCTAGAAGTTTTGCCAGAAACATCTAAAAAGTGAAAAATCCCATGTCGTGTTTCTGATTGAATGATTACTTATACTGCTACTATGTTTAATAGCATTTCAGAATTTTCAAGGAACCCAAGGATATCTAAACTACTATAAAAACTATATATTCACTTAGTATTGTTTGGCTTTTATCTTCCCATTGAGGTTTAAGACTGCTATTGGCATATGTGCATACTGTGCGTATACCTCGATATTGCCTTAATTCACAAGCTGAGTGGATAACGTGATGGCGTTTGAGGTGAATAGTACTGGGTTCGAGTGCCAGAGTGAACATCAACTCTGAGATGCAGTTACACCCAGCTGACGAGTCCCAAATAGGAAGAAACGCGCATCCAGGATTCCACTGCTAGCCACTATCCATCATTGCTTACAAAAAACCCTATATTTTCTGAACTAAAACGAACCTTTAGAGTAAAGTGTTTCTTACATATTTCACACCTTTTCTCTCATGTTCAAGTCACTGTATAGATTTTAGCCTGAGGGTTATTAAAAGAGCTTAAGAATCAAATCTAGCGTTCAAATAGTAAAACTTATTAGTTTTCCTCTTTAAACTTACTCAATTGTAACATATTGGAAATAATTACACCAAATTGTATTCAAAGTAACCATTCCCATAAATCCTATTATATTTTAAAAGATAAATATAAATATAAATGATCATTAAAAGGAATTATACAATAAAATATTATATCTTCAATAGTAATAAAATAGTAATGTCAATTCATATTAGTAACTACTGTGTATAGATCAATATGAAAAATGCATCAAATCGATTGATTAATTTCAGGTTTCTTGATGTTAATTGAGATCTATCGATTGTTATTTAACGTAATGCAATCAGTCAGAGAGTGTACATTATATGGCAGTGAAACATGGCCGGTAAGAGTAGAGGATATTCGTAGGTTACTAGTATTCGATCATAGGTCTCTTCGAAACATTGCTCGTATATCCTGGGACCATCGAGTAAGTAACGCGGTTGTTAGGAAACGGGTACTAGGTAAGGATGGCAAGTCGATTGATGAAGTAGTGAAACTTCATCAGTTGAGATGGCTGGGACACGTGTTACGTATGCCCAACGACCGACTGCCTCGACGTGCGATGTTCAGTGGTATAGGAGTTGGTTGGAAGAAAGCTAGGGGCCGTCAGACAAAAACATAGCACAAATCCATGAAGTCATTGACACGTGAACTGAGTCATGTTGGTAGGTGTAGACTACGTGGTCAAGATCCGCGAGACGGTAGCAACCGAGGGTTAAAGACCTTGAATGACATGGCTCAAAATCGTTTGCAATGGCGCAGGTGCATACACTCTTTGTGTTCTCCCAAATTCTAATCTCCTGATTCCTCCTTGTCTCGTTTTTCTCTTCTCAAATTTATTTCATTGGATTATACTCCTTGGATAACATCTTCAAACCCTAATGTTTCCGATTACTGCTTATACTCTTACTATCTTTACCACTACGGGATTTGAATCGACAACTGCATCTCTGTGCTAATGTGGTATGTGTTGGGATATTCAGGAAAATATCCTAGAAATTATTCTATTAAGTATAATGCTATTCTTGGACTTGGACATGGTATGATTTTCTTATTGGTCAGTACTTATTTCACGTGTTATTTTCCTACTGGTCAATATTGTACAATGTTATTTTCTATTTTATGGTACGTTGTGGTCTGCTTGACTGGTATACAAATAAAGTATGTTTGAAATATAATGATTCATATGTCCGAGGCTGAGACTTGGGTTCTGGACTCAATTGCTGGGCTAGACAGGGAAGCGTGGCCAATCAGAACCCTAGGTCGTTCTACGTGTTTGTGCGCCTTGGTCCGATCGATAATTCGCTACCCTCTAATCTGCTGCGGCATCACAGTTATAGCAGTATGGCAACTCGAACTGATGTACGTACGTACGTACGAAGTTCTACGTTGTTTCTGAGTGACTGTACATGATAGAAGATTGTGATTTATTTAAGTATAATGTTCTGAATAGGCGAATTTCGAGTACTGATGGTTTCATTCAACCAACTCTATATTCATTTATTAATTTGTATCACAAGGGGTTTTTGAGGATATTATAGAAATTTTAATAGTTGAGATCACGAGCCAATTAAAAGTAGACCACCATGGAAAACCTGGGAGCACTGGATGGTCGTTTCGTCGTCTTGTGGGACTTCTCAGCAGTGCGGATTCGAGATTCTAACCCAGGACCTATCAGTCTCGCGCGCGAACGCATAACCTCTAGACCACTGAGCCGGTATCCAGCTTTTCCATAGTGATCTAGTTTCAGTTGACTCATGATCTCAACGATTGAGATTTATCAATTTACCTACTCATGTGAAGCCAGGTATATAAGTCGTTCAATACATACTTTATTCAAAAGAATTCAAGAATATTACCTGGCTTGGCTAAAAGGAGGATGAAACGGTTCAATAAGAAGCTCAATAATCAAAGACCTTGTGAACACAGGTCACTTAATAAGAGCGAACTCTGAGTTCAAAGTCATCTACAAGGTAAATGTACAAGGCTCCCAAAGGCAGTTATTTTAAATCTTTTTAACATTACCGAAGTAATAGCTCAACATCTGGAGAAATCAGAATTATGTGTACAAAATGAATTGGTACAAACTCTTCTTCTACTATGATCCTAATGTTTCATAACTTTCTTTCTTCTTCATACTTCTTTTACAACTATATTCTTCGCCTTTTATCTTCTCTATAAATCTTTTACCCTCGACTGGATAATTTCAATTTCGATGATCCTCCTAATTACATTTTATCGCAATTTCAATGTTTTATTTGAACATACTGACCTTTTAGACCCCAGTTTTAATTTCCTGATTCTCTCATGATGAATATTCAAGCCATTAACAATAAAAGTATTATTAGTTTCCTTGATAAAAAAATAATGTTTTAATACCTTTGTTTACTCTATTTAACTAATAGTCGAAACTAGAATACTTGGAACCATCAGTTTTTATATTTTTTTATTGGACAAACTGTGCATTATTCATATCCGATATCGTTTTATTCATTTATTTAATGTCCAAATATTTCTGAAAATACTCTTTAGAATTTCGACAAATTTTTAATAAAAAACACTATGAGCAAATAATTATTTTCATAATTTATATCACAAACTAATTTAAGCTAGACCTCCACTGACAACCTAGGAACAATGAACGACCTTTCTGTCCTGGTATTGGACCCCACAGAAGTACATGTCTACGATCGCACACCGGGGAATTGGAACTGGAATCTTCATTCTCGGGCGTAAGCGCTCTACTCTCTGGATCATCTAGTCGGAATCCAGCGATGCACACAGAAAACTTCAATAAATGAATGATTTTGCATAATCCTCATCCGTTGACTGCGGCGGATAGCCATATCACATCCGACATGATTGAACATCACTGGTCATGGCTTCTCGCTCGACGTAAAAGAGTTTCATCTTGAAACTATTCATGATATTAAATTGACTGAAGTTAGACCAATATACATAATTTATTAGACCTAAGCTAAGTGGTCTTGAATCTAAGCACAAGCGAATGAGATCGAAAATCTTGGGTTCTGTACCTGAATGCAGTGACATGAGTTTGCACTCCTGAGGGGTTTATTTATTTATTTATTTCAACACATAGATATTGTTACAAAGGGGCACCAAATACATATGCGCCACACAAATCTCATTCGATATATGTGAGGGCTGTGATACTGCCCGGGTGCTCAAAACGAAGCAGGTGGTTTTCTTAGGGGTCCATACCCCGAGCCTTCGACCCGGATATCTGATCCACAAGGCAGTGGAGCATCGTAAGGAGATGTAGTCCCATGGAAGCCGGTGACCAACGATTGGTTCATACGCCATTTGTTCCCGTAGGATACTGGAGCCCATGTGCACCAATGGTTTGGAATCCGGTTAAAGCGCCGAACATTCGCTTTCCGTCCTCTCATTTTAGTAAACAACACTCTCGTCACGAGAAGGCAGTGAGTAGGACTTCCATGGCAGAGGCTATATATGCGTGTCCACGTGAGAGCATTTGGAGAGGGAGAGCGGAATCTTCCCACTCTCGGCCGCACCAGGGCATTTGGGACTCCTGAGGAGTCCCATGATAGAATCAAACAGCCATCCAGTGCTCCAAGATTTAAACAATATAAAAATTATACAATCTCCACAAACCCTTCTATACTAAAAATACTATTTTTATAAAACAAAAAAAGACTTACTTTTATCAGCAGAACAATTTGTTCGTTTAATCAATAAATCTGGTCCAATTGTAGATGAGCTTAGATAATAATTTTTATTCGGTAAATAAAAACGATGAAATATTCCTGTTATATTAGGATTGAAAGTTATTATGGAATTTTCACCAAAATAGGATGATATACTTGGATAATATGGTAGATTTGAATGAATTCGTTCAGTAGCATTATCGAATGTATCAAACAAAATTGTCATCTATAAATGCGTACAAAAGAAATGTAAGAAGTTGTGGGATAAAACTAGAATAAATATTTAGTTACCATTGTAAATAATAACACTTTTCAGTATAGGATTGTGGAGATTATTATGTTTTTGATTGAGATCATGAACCGACTGATGTTAGGCCACCATTGAAAACCCGAAAGCACTGGATGGCCGTTTGGTCCTAATGTAGGACTCCTGAGCAATGCGTATCCACGATCCCGCCCACGGGGTTCGAACCCAGGACCTCGCACGCAAACGCTTAACCTCTAGACCACTGGGTCGGCATCCAACTGTGTTAATGTCTAACCTCAACCAATCCACAAAATTGCACGACCATCTTCCATAGTACTGAGGTAGATACTTGTCTCTACCCGACACATATGTTACTACTAGATACACAGGCAGATGTGAACGTATATTTGACTGCTAGTTAACATCAACTGAAGTTTAAAGTATCTCAGTAGTGGATATTTAAAATCTATCATTACCCCGACCTGATGATATTCTTGTTATGAGTAGGAAATACAATCTCAAGTGACTAAGTGGTAAAGGGTTTTTTAGCTTTGATAGTATAAGTAAGCATTGTTGAATGGTGTATAGAATGTTAGCGGAATCTTGGTGAATAAACTAACCAACATAAAACGCACAACACTATAAACCAAGTATTGCTCGGATAAACATTCGAAATCAAGTTATAAGAAAAAGCTACAGATACAAAGTATACTACTTATTAGAAAAATAGTAACATATTCTATCAGTACAACATCAAACATTTTATTTAGACTATTCATCATCGTCAAAATCAAAAGGTAAGTTAATAATCATTTCCGCTTTTTCTAATCCTACAACTTACATTCAACTAGTTCAATTATTTTTTCAGTCCTGAAGTCATCTTTTCGTCGTTACGTAACCGCTCACTGATCGAATGAATTTGTTAGGAAAATTCAATACATTATCGTATGTGTTAAATAATATTTAAAGAGCGTTAGGTAACGATTTCTCAATAGAATAGATAGGCTATAGTTAGTAGTGGAATCCAGTAAATTCAGGACTCAAATCTAATACCTCTTGCATCTAACTCAAACACATTATCTATTGAGTTAACTCAATCAATGAAACAACAAAACTATTCGAAAAGTAAGATGTTAATAAGAGTTTAAATAATTCTGTTTTCAATAGTCCAGACTGAATTATTATCAATCTTAATTGGCCTATGTGCACCATGTGTGTACTGAATTGATACAGATTACAAACTTGTTTAACTAATACTTATTAGTTTATATATTAAAAAAAGATAGTTGTCTAATAACTGGTAATACCATTTTAGTCAGTATTTTAAACAATTAGTGTACAATTTGATGAGATAAACAACTTTTCTAAACACGTGTCAGTACTCCATATCCATCAAATGATTACTTAGTGAATCTTAGTTATGCACAAATATGATCATTGAGAGAATAATTTTTTCCATTGTATAACTTTTTAATGCATTGCAGTTTTTAATAAACCCGATTACGTCTACTATCATGATGTAGTCATCGGACTATATTGACCAGGACATTCAATTCTTTAGGTCATACCACGTCAACCTAGTTGGTAGGGAAACGATAGAGCCTTAAGCTGAAAATATAGAACTATGAAGTCAGTAACATATTTCCCATAGACAATATGCATCTGTAGAGATGGTGGTAGAGGAGATTAACCTTTAAAATAGTAAACATCACCTTTCTTTTAGGATTCGATCGTCGGCGGTTAAGCTTTAAAATAACGAAGCTAACTCAACTAAATCGTGTGTGATCTGCCACAAACAGTTATTTGGTTGGACACTGACATGACACTCACAGATCATCAAGATCACTCGTAAAAGATTTTCTTATTCAAGTACCTTAAAGAAGTATCCTTTCGCTATGTAGGATACCGGAGAATGAAAAAAACCTTCATAACTCTAAAAATATTTGAGACTACCATGAGTAAAATTTACAAATATTGCATCAAAATACGCGATATACATATACTGGTTGACAACTGAGATATACGCAAAAAATGTAGCCTTTAAATTGTTCAGTGTTATAAAGTTTAAAAAAAACTTCGCCTGGAGACCCTCTGTGGCTACTGCCGGTCCCCAAGCCCGGATAAAGAGGAGGATTGGGTATGAGTTTAGCGACCCCATCCCGTAGAAAACTAACTCGTTAAAAAATCGCTAATCAGTAAAAATGATTCAAATTATAAAGTTAAAAAAAGATTGAGATCAAGTGGATCATGCCTTAAATAATTTTTTTTAAAATTTACTAGTTAATACAGAATGGAAGGTTAACATAAAAGTAGGTTTCACAAATTTACCATTTATTAAGGTTGATGGGTTACAATCATTCGAGTAAAGTAATGTACAAATACTATGAATTATAGAAGAGACGTTGTATCATGGTTACAGTTATAATGATAATCACACCCTGAAATTTCTCATCAATGGGGGAGGAGTGAGTCATAAGCGCTTATCGGTCTCGCACGGAAATGATTAACGTCTAGACTACTGAACCGACATTCAATGGTGTTAATATCTAACTTCAACCAATTTAGGAATTATATATATATATATATATATATATATATATATATATATATATATATATATATATATATATATATATATATATATATATCATTAAATGAAAACTGAGGAATAACTGATTACTGTTTTTACTAGTTGATAATAATGATTACTGAACTAGGAAATGTAATAAAATGTTTATTGCACAAGTAATAAACTGATTTACATTGTAGTATTTCTGTGATTTAATTTAACACAGTTATGCGGGTGTAAACGTATGATATAAATCATCATGATAAGATAATGAATAAGGTATGTAATAGTTATGCTAACCGTTGAGGATCGGTGAATGAATAAACATTTACACTTTCCTAAATTAATAATAATAATAATAGTAATAAACGTTAGATTTTAATTGAGTTATTTTGCTAATCTATTCAAAGTAAAAAATAGTTTCGAACTATACATTGTCCATTCTATGTAGTTAAGGTGGTAAGAAAACTTTTCTATGTGTGCAGTAATATAAATCAATTATTGTGTTTGGTAAGTATGCGGTCAGTTTTTTGTTACGTAATATAAATAATAGCGAATGTTTTGTAAGTATGACGCCGTTTGATTAAAATCATTAATTTATTGAATATCATTTGTAAATGACATCGCAAAGATTATTTATTTATAACGTTGAGATAGAATGGTGGTTGGAGGTAGTCAACAGGAAACCCTGGACCCGAGTTTCGTGCTCTTTGGTACTCGTCAGCAAGATGTACCTGTAATCTTGAGGGAACTTGTGCTCCCTGACGGATTCGATCCCGTGTCAACCAGCTCCACAGGTACACCTTGCTGACGAGTGCCAAGTAGCAAGAAACCCGGGGTCCAGGGTTTCCTGTTGACTACCTTCAACCACAATTCTATCTCAACATAGTGCACGCAATGTCGAGTCACCTAGACTAGTGGTCACATTGCAACTTAGTCGATAGCATTCAATCTGCACTAAGAAGGACCTGACATTGATCATCACCGAGTGATTAATCAATTGTGAATTTATAACGTCTAGAATCATCGGTTTTCTTTGTTAAATATAATAGACGAACATTAAAAAATTCTATGTACATATTCTTAAGATTTGGGTACTTTTCAATAGTAAACCCGCAACAACTAAACGTTACAAAAGTATCATTATTTTTTACAAGTCATTGAAATATTAGTTGTATTCAGTACAAATTTATAGGCCTATATCTGACGTAACAAGTTTTTATGTCGATTGTACTGTTAAATACTAATAAAGTCAACTGTATTAATTAAAATCTAGCTATACCAACGTTTAAGATCAAAGAAGCCGCTTGCGGCTTCGCGAAACATCCCGCTTATAAGCACTGGATTTCTTGTGGTTCCTTCCAACTCACTGAAGCCCGATGGTATACTCCGGGTGACCGTGAGTTTGACCACAAACGAAGGATGTTACGTAAGGAAATTGGGCAAAGATTGCGTAAGGACCGAGAAGACTGGTGGTCGGAGCGTGCTTATGAGCTGGAAGTAGCAGCTGCATCTGGTAATTACCGGAAGCTCTTCCAACTCATCCGTGCCACTGGCAGCAAGAAGTCTGGTGTGAGCGAAACAATCTGTGAGGATGACGGGATGCCAATCACTAACATCCATCGACGTCTTGGACGATGGGCAGAATTCTTCGAAGGGCAGTTCAACTGGCCTGCAGCTCCGGCAACATCGGTCAGACTGTCCTGCCCTCCATGGCAGGCGACGACTGATCCACCAAATGAGGTGGAAGTCCGCAAGGAACTCCAACTCTTGGAGCGCTACAAATCACCTGGCCCAGATGACTTACCTCCGGCTCTTTTTAAAGATGGTGGTGACTATCTGACTAAGGAACTGACGACGTTGTTCACAAAGATGTGGGAGCTAGAGAGTGTATCAACATCATGGAATGAGTTGATAGTTGTTCCCCCGACCGAAGCTGCTACCTTGACGCGGTGGTCGGGCTTGCCTATCGTGATGACCCAACCGAGCTATATTGGCTGGAACATATGTACCTGTAGGTTCTACCATGCCAGGCAGGTCGATTGGTGAACGGTAAGACTAAAAGCAGCAACTCAAGGTCTGAGGGCGAAGTCGTATGGCTGACTGTAGAGAGGTGTGACGGCAGTAAGGTGTTTCCTTCAGACAACCAGCATGACAGCGATGGCAAGTTAATGTAGGTCCTCCGTCTCTTTACAAAGTTGAAAAAGCCATAGGAAATCTGAAACGAGGGAGAGCAGCAGGCCCTGACAGGTTTACTCCTGAGATTTTTAAGGATGGTGGTCCAGTATTAGCTATGAGATTAACCGAGGTCTTAGGTAGAATTTGGGAACTGGACGTAATCCCATCTGACTGGTCTCAATCACTGATTGTGCCAGTTTTTAAGAAAGGACAAAAGTCCTCTTGTGACAAT